AGAGAGAGAGAGAGAGAGAGAGAGAGAGAGAGAGAGAGAGAGAGTAGAAAGAAAAAGGTATTGTGATATAAATTGAATCAAAAATATAAAATAAGTTTTCAAAAAGTGGTCCAAATATTATGAAGGAACTACTGTTTACGGTGTACTGTATTTTTTCTTGTACTGCAACTATAATTAGTGTATTAAACAGATATCAATCTCTATTGAAATGCAAAACAAACTGTGAAAAAAGTGTTATTAAACTTAAGCCGTTTAATCAAACTGTGAATTCAAGTTCTCGATCAGTGTTTCACTCGAGTATCTATTTATAAACCATTAGAATCCAGTATTTTCTCTGCCGTTAGAATTTATTGGACTTTTTTCTATCTCTTCAAACAACTCTCTTCTAAATGACGACCTTTTTGTTCCCAATTCTTACATCACTTAAAGGCTGTATTTTTTGGCAAACATTGAGACCACAGCTCTTGTCCTAAATATGAGTGCTTTTCATGAATTTTTCTAAAATAAGTTATTCTTTCAGAAATTCAGTTTCTAATTCAAGTTTTATAGCATTTGACTCTTATTTTGATCACTAGTGATGTCTAATTAAAAGAGCTTTCATTAAATATATTCGTAATGAATCACAAAATTTGGCAATTTATTCAATTTATTTGAAATTGATTTATTTTAATCATCACTAATTTGACAAATTGAATCAACATTTAAAGTGTATTTTTCTAAAGTTATGTATTTATTAATAAATGTCTCATTAATATAGAGTTTTGTGAAAAGTTTCAATTTCAGGCGATTTATGATTTTTGAAAAGTTCGTAATTTTTCTTTTCAAGAATAATCATTAAAAATGCTGTTCGAGAAGACTATCGCAATGTTACCGGCGATTGTGCCGACTCTTATGTTTCTCCTATATAAGGGATATCACAGACAAATCCCATTCACGACTGAAAAGTTTGATAAAGAATACGATTATATCGTCGGTAAGCGTTAACACAAACAATCATTTCATTTCTTTTATTCTTATATTTTTAATGATATATTCAAATATTTATGTAAAATTTAAACAAATCGTTATTATATTTGTATTGAATGAATGCTTTTGTGTAACCATTGAAACTGTTTTCCTTAAAGTAAAAGTTAATCCATTTTTTGTCTCATAATTTGCTTTCAATTGATGGTTGGATTCACGCAATACTTTTTTATAATGTCTACGAATACTGTCTTTTATGCTAACGAGAAGTGTATTTAAGTCGAGTTCTCTGACCTCTTTAAGGATATCTTCTTTTTATAGATAATTAATATAAGTATTCAATTAGTTTAACATTAGTTTTATTTATTTTGCGCAAACAGAACGTAAAAACAACATAAAATCATTATTATTAAAATTTTCATTGAAAGCGATTAAGTTTAATGTGTTGTTTGTAACAAACAGTGGGCGCGGGCTCTGCGGGAGCGGTTGTGGCCAGTCGTCTGAGTGAAGACCCAAACGTCAAAGTACTGCTACTGGAAGCTGGAGGTCATGAGGTGTGGCAAAGCGAGATACCGATGCTCGCCGCCAGACTTCAGTTGTCTGAATACGACTGGCAGTACAAGACTGAGCCCCAGAAGTACGCCTGTCAGGGCATGAAAGAGCATCGGTCTAATTGGCCCAGGGGCAAAATACTGGGCGGATGTTCGGCCATCAACTATATGCTGTACGTTCGCGGAAACAAACGGGATTACGACTATTGGCAAAGTTTAGGTAACTATGGCTGGGGTTATGACGACGTGTTTCCCTATTTCATTAAATCGGAGGACAATCGCGATCCCGACGTCTTGAAGAACGGATACCACGGTATGTACGACGACAGAGGGGTCTGTGCTATACACGTACTCCTCGCGAGCACTACTGTATTTAGCAATTAATGAAAACTAATTAGCGATAGTAAGGGATATGTTTGGTGTGTTGTGTGTGTTGTAGGTCACGGCGGGCACCTAACTGTGTCAACAACTCATTACACGACTCCAATCGGTGGTGCTTTCCTACAGGCGGCCAAACTGTTTGGTTATCCCAATATTGACATAAACGGCGCCCGACAGACAGGTTTCGCTGTCCCGCAGGGGAATATACGCCGAGGGGCTCGTTGTTCGACCGGAAAGGCCTTCATTCGTGACGTTCGCGGGCGACACAACTTTCACACCGTTATCTACGCTCACGTGACCAAAGTCTTGTTCAACGGCCACAAGCGGGCCGTCGCCGTCGAGTTTGACCATAAGGTTGGAATTAAACACCTTTTTCTCCTCTATTATTATTGTAATCAATGAAAAAGTTTATATACTTTTATTGAACACATAATGAAGAGCACAAATGGAAATATATTTAGATTTGACCCAAATTTGTGGAAAAAATGCATTTTAATATTCAATTAGACGACTATTATTGCAATTATGTGTTACTCAAACATTTGTTAAATTCCTTTTTTCATCTCTGATGTGATAGTTATTAATGTAAAACGACTGCAAATGAATGCAAACTAATGCTAAATAATTTTTCATTCAAAAACTAGCACTAATAGCACTTGGAGTTTGTTTAATAACAAAACACTTTACTTATTCAATACTTTACTTTAATATTTATTCTTTGGTTCATCCTTATTGAAGATATGCATAAATACATACATTCACTGCAAACATACTTTAAACAAATTTTAAAAAGCTTTCAATTTACACAAAAGGGTTTGAAACACATAGTTTACGCACGAAAAGAGATTATATTATCTGCCGGTGCCGTCAATTCACCGCAATTGTTGATGTTGTCTGGTATTGGCCCGCGTTATGACTTAGAAGAGTTTGGCATTCCTGTCATTGTGGACGCGCCCGGAGTCGGACAGAACCTTCAGGACCACATCGGAGTGGGAGGCCTTCAGTTTCATGTGAACGCTCCCGTGTCTGTTGTGCAGCCCCGGGTCTATGTCGCCAAATCATTCACCCAATGGAGTACTTTAGGCATCGGACCCCTAACTATGTTGGGAGGATTGGACGGCATTGGCTTTATTAACACTAAATATGCCAATCAAAGCGATGACTGGCCGGACGTTGAGATCCATTTCATCCCTTCGTGCGCCTCCTCTGATGGCGGAGAGACAATCCGCGCCGGAATGAACCTCAAAGACGAACTCTTCCGCAAAGTATACGAACCGTTTCTATACGAAGACTCGTACGCCTATTATCCAGTCTTATTGAGACCAAGAAGTGTTGGATGGATGAAACTCCGATCCGCCAATCCTTACGATCAGCCAATACTTCAACCAAACTGTAAGCAAATATAGTTTGTTAACTACTATTAACCAGTATTTGGTTATTAACACTGTTTTTAAAAAAATATACGAAAATGGTTTTGCTTGTTAGTAATATATTATTAGCATTAGTTTATTCAAACATTTATATTTGCTCTAAAAATAATCACTTTTTACAGCATTCATACAATCTCTTTGATGTGCTTTTGAGTATACGGTATATAATTTTAAAATTATTATCATTTGAAAAGATTTTTACCAAAAAATTGTTTAGTCTTTCCTTTTCTATCATGTTCTCTATACGTGACCCTTAATTCACTTGTAAATTATAATGTTTAAGATTCAAATTCAAACCAAGCTTTTGTAAACAATCTTATATGTCATGTAATATTATGATAGAAAATCAATTGATTTGTATTTAACACACATATTATTATTTTATTTATTTTTTTAAAAGCTTAAAAAAGAAATCAAATACGAGAGTCTATCATATGATATAAATCAAAGGGTTTTTGTTTATTTCAACATTTCAATGTTAATCAAAATCAATAACTAATACTGTATTTATATCACAAATGATTGACACATATATTATAAACTGAATTTCTATTTTCGGCGACAGATCTGAAGGATCCGTACGACACGAAAGTATTGGTCGACTCATTGAAACTGTCAATCAAAATGGCTCTTTCGGGTCCTTTTCAAAAGTTTAAGACCAGGATTTGGTCGCGAACGTGGTATGGATGCGAAAAGTATAAGCCTTATAGCGATGACTACTTGGAGTGTTTGACCCGATCCTATACGGCCACGATCTACCATCCCGTGGGAACCGCCAAAATGGGCCCCAAAGGAGATCCCATGGCTGTCGTCGACCCGCAACTTAGGGTATACGGGGTGTCGGGTCTGCGTGTTATTGACGGCTCAATTATGCCACAAATAGTTTCCGGTAATACAAACGCTCCCATTATTATGATTGGTGAAAAGGGGGCCGATATTATCAAAGGGTATCTCAAATCGCCGCCCGTAAGGCCCGGCGAAGCGCCGATACCTCACTATTTGACTCTTCCGCCCGAAAAACAGAAGGACTACGCCGTCGGACCCATGAGTCAAATCGGCAAACTATTTGGCAAACTCGGCATCAGTTAAATATTTTATACCAATTTTTTATATCTCTTTTATATAAGCAATCATTTGTACAAAGAATTTAAAATCATTCATAAATCCATTAAATTATACCAAATATAGCCATTTGTTTAACAACTTTATTTGAATTGAATAATCAATTTGCCATTCAATCCATTGAATGCATAAACTTTTCATTGTTTGTTTGAATCTTTGATTTCATAGATTTAATCGATTATGAAAAAGTTGTGTTTAAATTTGCGTACAATTTATGACTTTATTATAACATAAAATTTGGTTTCATTTCATCACTAGTTGTTTACAACAAAATATAGCGTTTTATTGAAACGAATTCAAAATCAACTTCTTTTTGACCCAAATTGATGTTTAAAACTTTGTGTGGTATTTGTTTAATACAGTACTCTTAGACATGAATCCATCAATTTTATGGTACTATTTAAAAGTCCACAAACAATTGATCACAACATTCATAATATTTTGCAATAATTTACATTTTTTTGTAAATAACATTAAAATACTGTCAAATATTTTAAGTCTAAAATATGTTACACTTATATGATATAAGTTATATTACATGAATAAACACAAAATGTGAATATATTTTATTAAATTGAATACATCTCAGACCTAATGACCGCCTGTGGACACAGAAAATTAAATAAATCACACAAATTAGTGATAAAGTTACGTCTCGATCGATTAGATCAATCATTAAGTTTATTTTATATAAGTTTTACATCAATTCAATATCAAAATGACAAGTATTACATATTTTTAGCATTTTATCGTAATTTGAATCAGAAATTGAATAAATGAAATGTTATGTAATATACGATATGACAGTTTTTTCTAAATATTAGTATCAAATCATTAATAATTGTATTTTTAAGTTCTAATTTAAAATTGTAAAAAGTTATTTGAAACTAAACCAACGATGGTAAATTTGCATTTCTTGGCAAATCTAATTAATGTGTAAATATTTAAAACAACTTTTGTTGTAATAAAAATCAAAATCAAACATTGAATGGGTTGTAATGAGTAGAAAGTTATTATAATTAATATATAAATAATATTTATTATTTATTTATTATTTCTTAAACCATAAAATTATGTTTATGTCAATTAAACGGGAAATTAATAAATAAACTTTTTACAAAAGACATTATAATAAACATTGATATGTATTAAATATGAAGTTACAATTTATAATTTTGCTAATATATAAAGTACATGTTTTTTCATTGTCTAAATATATCGCTATTAATTTTCTAGGTAATAAATAAATTAATTAATATGAATAAATTTTAGTAAATTAATGAATTTGTAATGGCTTACAATGTACTTTTTATGCTGTCAACTAATCTACAGTATGTTATCAACCAAATGCTCTGGAACCTTTTGGTTGATAACAAATGAGCTTTACTGTATAATAATGACAATTGAAGGATTGTTTACTAATCTTAATGAATTTAAATTAAGTAACATGTAAAATATATAATAATATATGAATGTTACAGCTGATACTGCAAATTATAGTAATAACAAAACTACTAAAAACTATTGACTTATTTTCTAATTACTAAAAATTGATATCAAGTCCTCATCTAATATATTAGATTTAAAAGTTTTATGAGAAACTTCTCTAACCGTTGATTGAATTAATAGATAATTTCATCAAAACTATTGCACGAACTTTACATCAAATAATTTTCTTTAATTAAAATTGAATTTCCAATTAAACAAAGTGTAGCCTTAATTGGATTTTTATTATTATGATATCGATTAATTCATTTCACTTATTAAACACAGAAATAGGCAAATAATTTGCAAAAATTGAAACATAAACTACTTTTATTTTAAGTAAACTAGAACTAACTTGGTGTAAATGCACTTAAAACCTTAAATAAGTCCTAAATTATATTTTGTTTGTATCAATACTATACTGACATAACATGTGGATATAATTCCCATAAAAATATCAGTCAATTAAATAAGTTATAAATTGATATTAATATTTATTATAAATAATTTATCAAATTTTTATATGTTATTTATATTTAGCTTAATAATTAATTTTAACAATTAAAACTTGTCTATTAGGGTACGTTCACATATTACTTTTTCACTATTTAATAAATAGAAACCCCATCTCCCTTATGTTTGCAATTGTTTTTAAAAAATAACGATCGTATGTCTCAAAATTTCGGAATATACCTAGGACTTAATAAATTATTGATTAAATTTAGCCAAAATATTTTTATTGTTGTTTTTCTCGGAACTTGATTTATATCACTACAAAACAGTGTAATTCATTTGTCTGTATCTAATGTGGTTCCGGAGTAAACCCCACCCGAAGTGGTAAATCCCCGAAAACGCTTTGGCAATGCTATCCAATGGGAAGAAAAAATGGGGGAAATAAATGTGTTTAAATATTTTAATTTGAAACATCAGAATTTGTAATTTATGCCAAAATCATACAGTATTTTCTATATTCAATCTTTGCTCTTGGAAACTTTATGCTTCCTGATTATAAAATTGACCAGGCCAATGTGCCCAAGGGGTTTTTCGAGATTGAGTTCTTCGGGTGAGGATTTGTCCGGTAATGGATGCAAACAAATGAATTATACTGTTTCTTAGATCTATGATTATAGTTTTAAGAAAAACAACAATTAAAAAGTTTCTACTCAAATTAATCAATTAACCATTTACATTAAGAAAACATTACTATGTGAAAAATATGTTATTATTAGCATTAAATTTAACAACTAGTTTATTTCATTTATATTTTACTATATCTTGAGCAGTCATATGAAATACATTATGGATCTTTCAATTCTGATTATATTTTTAGTAATCTTGATATACATCTGTATATTAAACAGAAAATTCAATACCAGTCAAAATTAATTAAATTTTTAGATGACTTCTCAATCTCTAAAATTAAATATTAAAACTATTGATTATTAACCTAAAAATCTATAAGCATTTTGCAAATAAAATATTAATGTAAAATTAAATCCATTGGAAAGTTTAATTAAATTAATTAATTTCAATAGACAGACTTTATATAGATTCTATAAAATAGATAATATTCAATTAAAAACAACTAGAATTTTAATCAATAATAATAATAATTTTATTCTTTTATAAACAACTTTGGCTTAGAATTGAATTAAATTTAAAGACATTCAAAATCTTTAAATTTTAACTATAATTATATTTTATATAAATTCGGTTCAAATAAATTCTTCAGTCGTTAAAAGCAATACTTAATATTAAAATTTATATTAAATGCATTTGTAGTTTACCTAAAATTGCAATAAATTTAATGTAATGTTGAGTCACATTATATAATAAATTTATATTATTCTGTAATATAATTTATAATGAATTAGATTTACACTAAAACAATAAATCTGTTGATTTGTACACAAATAAAAACACATTTATAGCTAATTCCGTATGAAATGAAAAATTAAAAGTAATAAAAAACGTATAAAACAGGTCTGAGATTAAGAGTATTGATAATAAAATTGAGAAAATGTGGTAAAAAACAGTTAAAGAACAGTACTTTTGCAAAAACGTTTAGCAAATGTTATATAAAATATATATAATTTATGACAAATATTTAAATTCCTTATCAACAGAGCGAAGGAATTTGCAAATACTTAATACTAATGGATGTACTTTACACTAAACTAAAGTAAATATCATATCATTTAACATGACTTTTGTACAGTTTTACGGAAAATGTTTTGTTTTGACAAATTAATGGTTGAAATTCCGTTTGATTTATTAGTGATGTGTTGAGAACTGTTTAAATAATTAGGGTATCGACTCTTAATGGGTTCAGATGTTGGCCGTGTGTTTGGTAATGGAGTGCCGGGAAGGGAGCCATCCATTTGGTGAATACCGATCGCCCCTCCAATCGACGCCCGGTGTGTCAGTACTGGTCGACGACAGGAGGTCTCGGTTGATGAACGCCGACGTCGACGGGTAGTTGTGATCATTGAGGGCGGACTTCCGTTGCAGCCGACAGATGACGAGCTGTAACCGCTGGATGTGCTCATCCAGGGCTCAGGGCTTGACAGAGAGCTGCGACGGCTTACGGGCGTTGAGCTAACGTAACGACCAAAAGTTGGTGCGTTAGGGGTTGGAGTGGTTTGTGCTGTTGTGCTGACTAGTGGTGCATAACTACGACGACGAGGACTCACACGAATAGCTCGGGTGTCCAGAGGTAAGAGATCGGCCGCTGATATCTCTTGGTTCGGATCTCCGCCGTGGCGTTCGAGGAAATGGCTGAGAGTAGTCCACCCGCCTGTCAAAAGACACATACATTTAATATGTTTTCAATTTTATTATTTGCTATCAAATGTTTTACTCAAATAAATGCTCATTTCATGTACTTTTCAATTATGTCTTATCGTTTTAAAACACTTAATAAAAGTCAATATTTTCTAAATATTTAATTAAATAAAAACAATTTTTCTAATGAACTTTTATTGGCCTTAAATTGGAGTAGAAATTGAAAAATAAGTCTTATATCTGTTTGATTTGCAGTTTAATATAATTGCTATAAAATCATTAAACCATTGATTATAGATGTAATTACTTTTGTGCAAAAATTGGTTCAAAATAAAATTCAAATTAAACTAATTTAACATTTGATTATGAAATTCAATAGGCATTTGATTTAAAGGCCGTTAAATTAAAATTGAAACAAAATTTATGAATCTATTGAACCTAAAGTTGTAATAAAACATATAATAAATCAAAACCAATTGAATTTATCAATAAAACAAATTATCTGTCAAAAAATGATATATAAAAATAATATATAAAAATTATATTTTGCAAAATATAGTGAACGAAACGAATTATAGAAACGGTAGAAATGAGCGTATATTTGATATCTGGCATCTCCTGCCATATCATACCTCCCACCCTAACCATCACATGACGGGCTTTGAGTAACTGCTTAAGAAAGATAATAATTATAAATATATATTGTATACAAAAATAAACGTATAATAAATGGAAATAAATAGCAGTGAAATATAGAGTTCATTCATGGATGACAAGTCATAATCATATTTCTATAGCTTTTTACGGATGAATAACTAATTAACTATAAGAATGAGGAACCGGAGGACAGGAGGAGGACGTGTATGCCTTTGTTTATGTCTTTGCATGTGTTGTGTGTGTCTGTCGGCGACCAACAAAACTAACAATTAATAAAACACTTAAATCATGTGATATTTCATAAAAGTTTTGTTGAAAATGGTTTTTCTCTCTCGATATGATTGCAATCCTCTCTTCTATTCTTTCAATTCATTAATTAAATTCATGACAAAAGAAGAACTTTTTGTTACTTTTCTCTTATTAAGCAATTAAAACAAATCTCTATTTTCATCTCTAATTAATGATATTTTCAAAACAATGCCTTACAATACGAGTACTAAACAAATCAAATAAATTGCTTTTGACTTCAAAGCATGAGTTTTTATTATTTATTAAATTATTTATATATATTTATACGCTTTAATAAAAATCATTTCCTTTCCTTTGATTTTCTTTGTTTTCATTTAGAGATAAACAGAGAGAAAGAAAAGACGAAAAAGAGATTTAGTGTTAAAATAAGTTAAATTAGATTTGTTGGCGGAAAAGGACGGATCATTTATAATGATTTATAAAATTATAAAACAAAAGGCGTGAAAAAAGTGAACCAAACATTTCTGTATTTGGAATTAAGTAAATAATTTTTGCATTTGTTTTGCATTTTGTTTGCAATGACTAACCAGTAATAGGATTAGGAGTGATATAAATATATTATATATTTATAATAATATAAATATGCGGAGAATCGAGAGGTGAACCCGAATAACCCGAATAAAGCCGAACACAGTTTATGTTAGTTAATGAGCGATAACTGAGTGATTGCCACTCACTTATGAGCCCCGGCTATACGGAAGTCACTCACTATGACTGAGCTATAACTCCGACACTTTTTGCTATTCTTCGTATGTATTATATTATCATAATTATGTCAAAAACAACCTTATCTTCAATATGTCTTATATTATATGCAATACAATATTTAACGTTTAGATTCACTAAATATCGGCACAATAAGTCATATTTGCCAATAAATCTTAATTCCTATCACTAACCACTTTCTTCAGCACAAAATTGTAAATAAAAGTCACCAAAATTTTCATTACAAATATAATCACAAAACTTGTAATTAATTTTAAAAACAATTACACTGTATATTAGTGTTTGATAGTGAAAAATAGCAACATAGTTTATAAAAGTGTGACTATCGCTGATTTAATCATTCTGTAATCAATTTGCAATCAATTCATTAATTTTTTAAATCACTAATATAAATTAGGTGGTATTAGTTAGGCCAAATTTGTTATCCGAATGGTACAACTCAATCTTATTGACATTAACATTAATATTTCAATATTGATGTCCAAATGTTTACATTGAGTGATGGGTACTTCCGGGAGAACTAATAACCATGTTCAAATAGATGTTCAAATATTTAATGTTACATGTGAATAGAAATACAATGACTTATTGTCAATGAGTGATACACTGTTACGAATGGCATTCAAACCATGTGTAGCCGAAACAACAATAACTTATTTTTAAGCAGTATTTTTAAAACCAATAAATGTTTTTACAGTTAAATCGGTTCTAAAAAATATAAATTTGTTACTTTAGTATACGAGTGAAGCAAAGTTTCTGTTTAACTATGTTTTCCACTTAACAGAAGTTTTTATAACATTTTATAACTTATGTTTTTGTATATGACTTATATTTGAATTATATAACAAACCATTAATACGATTGGCACTCATTTGAGAGATCAATAAAACATTTGTACTCATTGTTTGAATTAATATTGTAATGCAATTGAAATAATAAGAGGATTTAAGCGCTAAAAATATGCACTTAAAGGTGCGACGAATGTATAATATGTTTATTTAGAAAATAATAAATAAAAATTCCGGATTTTTAAATAAAGTGTAAAGTTTTTTGTTGTTAAGATTTTATTTGGGTTAAAGTGTAGGGCATTGGCATTAAAGGCATGTTTGTGTTTCTCAAACCTGGATATATTGTATTAGTATGAAAAAAGGTGTTTCTCTAATGCTATTGCATTGTATGATAAATATTACTAACTTTCTCTTCTCTCGATATTTTTTAGTTCAATAATAATAAGCATTTGATTTAAATCTAAAATCTTTGACTAAATCTAGAAAATAGTTGAGGCGTGCGATCAGTAAATAAATGAAAGATTTCATGATTATATAATATAAACATAAAACAAGGTTTGACTCACTCTTACGAATACAATCCGATTCGCGATTCGATATTTGCCTGAAATTAAAACCAAAAATATTATAAATGATATAAATATAAGATTAAAAAATAAGAACATAATTTTATATAATGACCAACATAATTTAAAACCTTTTTTAATTAACGTCTCAATACTGGTTTGTAAATCGTTTTTTATTAAAAATGAAAACCTAAATATATATAAATGTATTTTTCTCTTATATATTATTATCATATAAAGAGTTGTTTTGGAAAATTATTTGAGAAAATTTATGATAACTTTCGAAAACATTTGAATTTCTAATATTTAGCACAAGTTTTAAATATAACACAAATAAGTATAGAATAAATTAAATGAAAGAAAAATTGCAAAAAATACTTCATTAAGAAAGGATTTTTATGAGAAATATGTTGTTTACGTCCAATACAAGGAAATAGTGTCTTACGTGAGCATTAAATTTCAATTTTATGCCACAAATAGCAAAAATTGAGGCTTTTATTTGTGTTTTGTTTTTAGCAAAATAAAATACTGTATGAATATTAATGAATAATAATTGCATTATTTACTGCTATTAATCGCTTTATTAGTCGTTAAAGTATTCAATCATTAAATTAAAAATGATTATAAAAAGAAATGTTTGTTTTTGTAACTTCTCTCATGTGCTCTACAGTACTATTGAATTATTTTACACAACAATAATAATTTCCTATTTATTTCAATAAAGAAGTTTTAATGAGTTTCTATATCTTTAAAATTCATTTAATTTTCTTGTTTTAAAAGATAGAAAAATAACAATTTTAAAGAAAAAACAAGAAAATATATTTATCTTAAAAATTTTGTCTTAAAGTAAGACTAAAACTAAAAATAAATTATATTTGACTGAATTTACAAATAAGACATATATTGAAGAGATTTATTATTTTAAATGAATAACTAATAAAAACAATTGTTTGACTCTATGTTTAGCACTTATTTATTGTAAATTTATTTTCCAAAACTAATCGTATGTTTATCTCGACGTGAATTAACACCAAAAGAGTTAAATCTCATGTTTTGATATAATATAACTTTTATTTCATTGAATATACCTTCAGAAAGCCTTTGTATTCCCTGATGTGCTTCTCGTCCGTAATAAGACTTTGCAATTAACATAACCTGTGAATACAATTAGAAATGTTTTATTAAATTAATTTTTGTGATATATTTATTAAATATCTAAAAAATGGAGTAAAAAAGTTTGAATTCATTGTCATATCTATTGTTATGATTATAAAAGAATAGATTTAAAGTCTAAGAGACTGCTCAGTGACACAAAACGCATGGTATGGTTGGAAAAGTTTTTGTTCAAAACAGCTGTAGTTCTAAAAGATGCAGAGAGAGAGAGAGAGAGAGAGAGAGAGACTGAAAAATATAAACACATATTATTATATACCGTATAAACAATAATATAAGTTATGTGTATTTGAGTGGCATTTGTTGTTGTGTTGGACTCATCCCC